GCGTCAATTATGGATTGACTTAATCCGCGTGGCTGATGCAATCCTTTGTCACGGTGGCGCGTAGTGGCCGCGTGGCGTCACTAAATAAATTTATTTGATTTTATTTATGTTAATTCACTGAACTATCGAACTGATTTAAATGAATTGAGAATTTAAAGTATAGTTGAATCTACTATAATTATTTATATTTAATGAATGATTTAAATATTTGAATGAATGTGAGATGCAAGTAAGAATTGTCAGAATTGATTAGCACAGAGTAGTCGTACTAGTACAGAAGTCCAAGCACAACTGTTGTAGCAGACCACGCGAGCCGGCTTCTCTACCGCTAACCAAGGCGCGCATGTGCGACGGCCATAGCGTGATACGATTATTCCCGAGTTCATACGATTATTCTCGAGTTTTAACGATTAAGCCCGAAGGCGTAATTTCTCTTATAAGTATTTGACTAGATCTCTTTTCTAGCGGTTGAACATCTATTCAATATGACACTATACACACTATCGATTGTTATACTTTATAATATCGACAAATCGATAGTCAAGCAGTATGATATAATTTCCCTAAAGATGACTCTGGCGGTAAATATAAAAATAATTAATGTTGAAACAATACATGTAATTGTTTGCATAAAAATATATAATTTCTAAAAACCATAAATAGAAAAAAAAATGATATTTTATTTCATTTATTGAAAAGTCGCCTATTGGCGACTAGTCGCCTTCATTAGAATTTTAGTCGCCGACCTATTTCAAAAGTAGCCTAAATGGCGACAAGTAGCCTCATCTGGCAAGCCTGTATCCTACTCACCACGACATGATAAAAGAAAACAAGTCCCCGCGGGAATTCAAAATTTCCTGTCTCAAGTTCAACCTCAAAAAGTTTACCGCCTATCGTAGTCACTCATGACCTTAGTAGTTTATGCGACTTTAAACAACAAATAAAAAAAAATCCACTAAAGAAAATTTAGTGGAAATTGTTAGAAAGTTTTGTAGTAATGTTTAGTAAGGAAAATTTGCAAAGTTTAATGAAGGAAAATTCAGTGAAATTCAGTAAGGAAAATCTTGGGAATAAATTTAGTATACAAATCGCTGTATGAACGCACAAAAGGGGTATAGACGGTAATAGAAATATTATGTTAGAAACCGTTGCATAGACGCCCGCTATGGGGGTGCAATTGGGATTAAGGCTATTGTAGAAACCGCTTCGTAGACGTCCAAAAGGAGGTGCAGTCGGGAATAAGTTGGTAAATAAAATTGTAAGGGTGTGTGTGTGTGCGTATAAGTAAGTAAATACTACGTAGAGGTCCAGTGGACGTGTAATTAGTTTCAAGTCACTACGTAGAGGTCCGGTGGACGCATAGTTATTTCTAGTATTTATTTATTAGGAGATTTATTGTTGTAAAATTGGGAATTTGGTTGAATAAATTTTTGTAATTCAGTATTAATTCTGCCTAAATTTATTTACAGCTTCTCCACAATCTCTCTCACGACCTTAGATAAAATCTTACTCTCTCTGGTCCGGCTCTGGAGGCTGCGATAATACTCCAGTAGCGCCCTAAATAAATATTATTTTGGAGCAACCAAGATAGTAATTAACCCCGTCACATCTACTTTGTACAAATTGGAGAAAAACAGTGTGCAATTAGTTGCCTATTTGCTTGGGTCCCTTCTACTGGTGTTAGAGAGAATTATCGTTTTCTTACTTACTCTTATATGCTTACTGTGATGGTAATCGTCATATTAACGGTAAACCAACGCAGAGATCTACACTCGGTCAATTCAGTTCAGTTATGTACAGGCTGCTCCGTGTCTCGCTCACTCGGATGTTCGCTTTTCGTCATTGTATAGCTATCTTCTTTGCTCAAATTCGGTGACTCGTACGCGTTCGCTCTTTATTGCTCTTGTTTGCAGTTGCGTATTAACTACGTTTTGTATTGAAAAAAATAAATCGATGAAAATTTTTGTTCATTCACACATAACACTCAAACGAAGTGAAATTCGGGCCTGGACGATCATCTTAAATTCATTAATTGCATATAATGAACCTTGCGTAACGTTACCTGAAGCCTGGAAAGTGTAAATAGGAATTAAAATTTCCGTGACAGCTGGTTCAACGAATGTAATAAAATATTTTTCACTTTCATTATGTCCATTTATATCAATTAAATGAAATACTAATGTCAATTTAGCTTTTGTTTAATTTGTTTTATAAGTTTTAAGATTTATGAAAACTTATGACTATAATTAGATAGCCCAAAGCTTGAGGAAAATAGTATAATTTAATTTCTATTTAATGTAAAAATGTCGAGCTCACATTTAACAGATGACAATTTGTTACTATCATCAAATATTCAATCGCAATTACCCGGAATACGCAATAACCGTTGTAATTTGCGTCAGTATAGAACGATGACGATAGAAACACAAAAAATACACAAGGCAAAATTAGCAAAATTTTCAAACGAATTAAAGATTTCAAAAATAGATGATTCTAATGTTGCAAATTTTCTGAAAACAATTCAAGACAAAAGTCGTTCCGATAAAAAATTGTCAAAAAGTTACGTAAATGCAATATACTCGACACTTAAACTGTTGAATCCTTCTCTTACAAAAACTGCAAGCGAAATGGACTTTCCTCGGAAAAATCGAAAATTTTCTTCTGACGAGTACTTGGATACTATTTCAGGTGTTAAAAAAGTAGTTGAACAAATGACGCAATTCACTGAATCGTTTAAAAATATCGAAATACAAAAAGTAGAATCACGACGAAAAATCGATACGATAATAGCTATAACAATGACTGCTTTAACTAACTTACGTACAACCGAATTATTGCAATTAGAACTAAAACATTTGTATCAAATTGCGCACGGAATTCCTATTACTTTAAAATTATCTTATAATAAAGAACAAATAATTGACGTCTTATTAACAGATATATTGACCAATCAAACATTTAAAAATATTATTAACATGGTTCTAAGTCGTGAATTATGGTGTAAGAATAGCTTCAATAGTGAGAGTCAAATCAAACAATCTTGTATAAGACTCATTTCTTGTAAAAATGACACAATTAATAAAACGTTTTCTGAATTATACGTGCAGATTAACAATAAAAAGCCGAAATTAACGTTAGGACTAAAAAGTGTCCGTTCTCATAATTCAGCACGAATAGTAAATCAAAGAGGACATGTAACGATAGATTCAGATGACGAAACCATTTTTAAATCAATTATCAATAATTTTATAACAGAAAACAGAACGTCTCATCAAGCATAATTAAAAGAATCATATTGCTAATGGATATGAGAATTATTGCCTCGCCCTAATTTGAGATAAAGAATGAATGTGTCGTATAGTTTATAAATAAGATTATTTAATTTTTTTTTCATTTAAAAAAAATTAGAAAAACGGTTCACCCTAAAGGCCATCCCTGCAACTTCCCGCCAATTCTATATCTAAACGCTTGAAATTGCACTTATGACGTTTTAGAGCTCTTCGAGCTCATAAATACAATTTGTGTATTATTTTGAGCTCTCCGAGCTCAAAAAAATAGCTTTTGTATGCTTTTATGCTCTTCGAGCTCAAAAGTTTGATAGAAGTTTGATAAAACACTATTTTGTTAATTTTCAAATCGCAATAACTTTTGAATG